CACTACTTCTGTGACCAGCCAATTACAATAAAAAAAATTATTCAAAATGTTCAATCTAAACCTCCCATGGTGCAACTTAAGGCTGTTTCCTTGTCACTTGTGCTGTCATTTGTCACTGACACCCTTCTTGCTGCAACTTCCTTTCAGGTAGTTGTGGAGAGCAATGATGTCTCCCCTGGTCCTCCTCTTCTGCAGATGAAACAACCCCAGTTCCCTCAACCATTCTTCATTTGTCTTGTTTTCTTGTCTTGTCACCAGCTTCATAGTAATTCTTTGCACCCACTTGAAAAGCTCCATATCCTTCTAATGAGGGGCCCAAAATTGAACAAAATACTTGACGTGTGATCTCAACAGCAGAGGGACAATCCCTTCCCTAGTCCTGCTGCCCATACTGTCTAGGATGTAGGCCAGAGTGGCGCTGGTCTTCTTGGCCACCTGGGAGGCCACTCAGCTGGTTCATGTTCAGCTGGCTGTCAGCCAGACTCTTTAAGTTGTTTTCTGCCTGGCGACTAACCAGCTACTCTTTCCCAAGTCTCTTCTGCTGCATTGGCTTGTTATGGCCCATGTAATTGCAGTTTGTGTTTTCATGATAAGTTTGAATGATAAATTTTGTTATATTTGTCTGATTTCTTATTCCTTGGTTTTTGTAATCACTTGAGCACCGAGGCATCTATTTGCTGGTCTCTAGAGAGGTTTGCTGCCTGTTGGGAGCCTATATCTGGGACATTAAGAAGAGGCTACTGGGTGTGATAAAGCTCAAGAAATACTCTCTACCCCAGCTCTTTCAAGCAGAGTCACAGTAGGCTGCAATTACGAAATTACAAAATGTTTAAAAAGATTTTCTTTCCCTAGGGATGATATTGAAACTATTGGGAGGACAGGTAGTGTTCTCAGTCCTTCTGGCTGGGGATAGTAGAAGGAAGAGAATGAACCAGTTATAAGAATGACTGCATGGATAGTGTTGTGCTCAGGATTTTATATGATCTTGAATTGTCAAGAGACTGAGCATATGGTCATCTGATGGGATGCAGCTGATTAGGAGGAGCAAGAATATACCAAGCAGGAGGCTGGCTTGGCTGATCATCAGAGCTAAATTTTACGGGGGGAGGGGAATTACTTCTAAATGGCAGAAAAGGGCTGAAGAATGCTGTGACTTTAGGAAGCAGCAGGGTTAAGCCTCAAATTTGCCACAGAGGAATCTGGGAAGACTCCTCCAAAAGAATAAAGATGCCAAAAACCCAAATGAAATGTCTCTACAGCAATTCATGCATCATGGACTAGTGAAAACTATGGTGCAATTAGAAAACTGTAATTTCATTGCTTTTGCAGAAACATGGTGGGATAAATTGCACAATGGGAATACTACAGTTGAAGGCTACAAGCTTTTTAGAAGGGATAGGCAAGGCAGGAGGGATGTGGAAGATACCCTCTATGTTAAAAAGTGGGTAGATTTAGGAAGAAATGCCATCCAGGTGATGGCAAGCTAGAGAAGTGGGCCCACGTGAACCGAAAAAGTTCAACAAGGTTGTACAAGTACAAGGTGTTGCACTTGGATTGGGTCAATCCCAGATGTGTGTATGGACTAGGAGAGAAACTCTTTGAGAGCAGCCGTGTAGAGAAGGACTTGGGGGAACAAAAAACTGGACATGAACCAGCAGTGTTGCTTGCAGCCCAGAAGGCCCTCAAACAAAGAAAGGACCAAGTCATAAGTCTCATGGGTGTAAGTCCTGTCAGAACTGGCTTGAAGAAAAACAGAAGTGAGGGAACTGAGGATTTTTGGGATGCAAAATGCTCTAGCTAAAACACGAGATTTTTGATTCTTTGAAATTAGACTTTCTGACAGGTATATTGGATTAAAAACAGGGAAAATAAAACAAATAAGTGAACATTTGTGTAACTTGGGTATCTATTTGCTAAGATGGAGAATGAAGTGTTCTTCCTCTCATATACCCTGTGGTTCAAAGCAAGCCTGTAGAACTCATGTTCACCTTGTACAGTGAAAAATCACTCATATGTTAGTTTTTATAACATTAAGGCTGTTGAACGATATTTTTACGTTTTGCTAAACTTACTTTTTAATGCAAGTAATAATAGTTTTTAATGGAGAAATGAAAACATGGCTAGACATTATACATTATGAAGGAGAGCCACACATCTGGACATTTACTGCATTTATTGTTTCAAGTAACAGATGTAATTCAAAAACAGAAGCTTTTTCTAGTTCAGTGGAAAGCAGTAGCATAACTGAAATAAAGTGGTGAGCTACTACTAATCTGTTATTGCAATCAGCTATCTCTGTCACATTTTATATGAAGAAGAAAGGGAGGATAAATTGGAAGCAGCACATAAAATATTGTTTTAACATTACTGTTGGCTAGATCTGTGAGTGGAAATAATAAATCCTCATATGGCGTTGAGGATAATACTAAAGTATTCCCACTAGCATGTGTTATTTACGACTGTTCTAAAGTTTTATTTCTTCTATATATGTCTCTTTTTTTTAGGGGTTGGACCTGACATGTTGTTCATAGCTAACTATTCTTATGTTAACAAATCTCAATTTTAGCTAAATTCTAGGGTAATGTCAGGAAAAAAAGTGGTATGCTAAAATCAAATAATGATTACAACTGCTGGGATGATAAAACTAAACAAATATTCATAAAATATCGAAATTAAATTGTATTAATTAGAATCTTGAAATTGCTCCTAAAAGAGCTTAGGAGTAGATACGTCTTTACGTTTATTATTCCCAGAGCCCCTTAAATAATACAGGAATAGAAATTTTTAGTCTTAGAGCTCATATGAAAAAAAAAAATGACATATATAGATATGTGGTGCTTAAGGCACAAGAATAACATGCAAGTTAGATGCTTTGTTTTGATTCCTGGACTTCACGATGTGTCTGATCCAAATCTGTATTAATGACTTCTCATCCAGTACAAAATACCCTTAGTGTTAGAAATGTAGATGACACTGATTTTTCTTACGTGGCTGAAACACCAGTTTGTAGCCTGATTACCTTTTCTTCCCTCTTTTTATTTCTCCTGCCAATCAAAACCTGGAAGGTGATTTTGAATTGCCTTCAGGAGTGACTCACTGTTGGTATTTTTAGGAAATCGTCTTTAGTGAGCAGTGCTTTAAATGCAAGAAAGAGGTGTCCTCAGTTAGATGATTGATCTAGTTGAAAATTGTTCCTACTCTGAGTAAATCTCTTTTTAATTTATTTATTTTTAGTTTTTTTTGTGTGTGCTTGTCTAAGAGTGCAAACAACAGTGCTGTATCCTATTTGTATAATTAGAGTCACCTGTGTTAGGCTAGAAGCAGATTTCTTCATTTTAAGAGGCCTTTATCTTTCAGTGTACTGGATACTCTTTTCAGAGTATTGGATAAAAAGGGACTTTCTTTACTAGCTTTTGTATCGCAACTATGTATCTGTGTATAAATATCCTTCCTGGGACAGCAGGAAAGGTTTTTGGAATTGAGCAACTCTGGGAGCTTGTGTGAAGGCATGCACAAATACTGTCTCTCCAAACACTATTTAGGAGGGATCCACCTTCAAACTATTGGCTTCATCACTGTGGCAACTTGCGGGTGTATTCAAGCTCATGTGCCCTGTTGAGAACAGAAGTGCTCTGCTGACAGACTGGTGTAGCTGGATTGAATACAGTGCATGGTAGTACATATACTTCTGGGTTATACATCCCAATAGCATTTTTGTCATAGGTTTAGAAGCACACAGCTAAAAATTAGGTATCTATAGGTTACCTTAATTTTCATATCCTCTTATTTAAGCAGGCAAAACCTTGTAGTTTTGCTAATCCTGCTGTATTCTGTCCTACCTGAATTTGTGACTGTTGTCCATAACTATATCTATATTATATCTATAATTAGTTCAAAAGGTGAAGGCACAGTACAGCAGCATTAATTCTTCCATATGGAAATACTATGCCTAATTCCTTGGAAAGGGTGTCCTATTACTGTCTCATGGAATTCACCAATGTTTTTGGACCGTAGTCAGATTGTGATCAATAAATTCACTATAATTTTTATTTGTTCTCTTTACAGCTGACGAGTTCACAAAGATGAAAGAAATATACGTATGTCTAAGTTCTCAAGTCCATGAACTTGCTAGTCTTACACCTTATTTCTAGTGTTTAGTCTACAGGATTACCCAGATCTGCTTTATGGTTTTTCTATCCTCATCAATACAGAAAGTGGATGAATATTTTGTCTTGCACTAGCCCCACAAACATTTGTTTCCCGAACTATGGTTTTTACTGGGAAATAGTGTTTCTGAAGTTGACCTTTTATGAGCTGCTGTGGTAAAGTAGCAGGTTGATGAATATAGCCAGGCCTGTTTCAAGTTTCTCTTTCTGTTTTCATCATATTCTCATTTTTCTTAGTTTAAAAATATTTTGCACGTGATGCTGAATTCGTTGTTTTGCTGCAGTTTAAGATAGATGAGAATTCCTGATCAGGGAAATGTGTTATCTTGTGAAAATGTTAAACAAAGCTGTTATGGTTGACTTCTGGTAAATGCAGTTCACGTTTAATCCAATTTTCGGTTTTCTTCAAGGCTGTTCATTATGTTTCCTTGTTAGTTTATTTTAAGTACTGTGTAATATTGAAATGCAACTAATGAGCTTTCAGTTCATGAATTACTACGCATCCATATCGGTTTCTTATATACAGGTGTTACCTTTATTGTCTTACTGGTAAATCCAGATACAAAGTGATCGCAAAAGTGGACTAAGAGGAGACTTGAGTAAATTTTCCACCAGCTTTGAATGATTAAATGTTTTTCTAGCTTTTCTCAGGTCCGCTTACACTTGCCTGAGCATTTTACTCAGCACAAGCGGTGTAGATTCAGAATTGTTACTAATGCTGTGACATATCATGCTCTAAAAAATAACTGCAAAGTTAATTCTGTTTGAAACTGTTACGATGATCAGATCTATTCTTAACAAAATATTTATACTCAGGTATTTTTTGTGTTTCAGAACAATGGATCACTTGCTTGGTGTCAGAATCACAAACAGTGTTCAAAGGTATGTTGTTTTCTTCCTTGTCCCATTTATGAAGTTATATGATTGTTTCCATGTTGTTTGTAGATTAAGTAGTTTTCACCTTTTATTTGGAAACCTCAATCCATAAATGTCCAAAATTAATACCAAGTGAACTACTTTTTCAGGACTTTGGAATTATGTCTGAGGATAAATATTGAGCATAGGTAAACCAATATAATTCTTAGCTGGGAAAAAAAAACAATTGGTTGATAAGTGATTGTGGTTATCAACAAACTTTACACTGTCTGGAATCTTCTATATCATTTCTGTTTCAGTATTTTTGGACATAAGCAGTGAAACTGTCAGTCACTTTAAAATGTTCACTCAGTAGCGCCAAGGTATGCCAGTATTCAACTCTTTATTCAATTTTTTGCATGACACTGAATTTTCTTGGAAATCATTCTTGAAACAGATCACTTATGCCTTGTCCCATCCTAGCATTTTGATCTAGCAAGCTTAGAGAGTAGGTAAAATAAGTCAACTGACTGTGCAAAAAATTTTACTATGGTATCTAAACAGAAAGAGCTGTGATTTGGGAGCTTTGATGATAAGAGTGGAATTACACATTCCAGGAACTGTTTTTTCATAAATGTAATGAGAAATGCATCTTTTAAATGGCTTGGAAGTTTACCTGAAACTGATGAAGAGTTTTTTTCCAGTATTCCTACCTAATCTTCCTAAAAATGTATTTCTATAATAATATGGGCATTTTATCTTTGATTTATTCTGTAAAGGGTATATTACAAATTGAATTAAAACGGAGTAGCATCATTCTGTATTGTTTTCTTAATCTATGTAAATGCTGACCTTGATTTTTAACATGAAACAGTTTCTCTACATTTAAGAAGTGAGATTGCTGGTTCACCAAGGAGAGAATCTAGTTTTCATTAAAGTGCATGAGATTGAAAATGAACTGTTATTGACTGTTCCACTATAAGAAAATAAAACAAAATTGAACACTGTCATTGGTATTAAAAACTATGTGTCATGACATCAGTAAAGGAAGAGAGTGGAAAAGATTAGTTTTGTCACACTGCTGAGTGTTTAGTTTTTGACATGGAATATTATCATTCTTGTGAAAAAGGGATTTCTCATAACTAAATTGGTTTTAAAGGAGGGTGTAATGGTCTTGTGTGGTACTGCAGTGATCCTGTTGTTCTTTTTTAATTCACTTATCAAAGCTGCTATAGTGTCTGGTCTGAAAGATTTTCCAATTGTGTATGCTTAGCAAGGAATGAGTCATGTAGGGAAAGCCCAGCTTTTAAAGCAAGACAGGTTATATAAACATCTGTCTGGATCAATCTGAAGTTCATAGAATGGCTTAGTTTGGAAGGGCCCTCAAGGACCATCAAGTTCCAGTCCCCCTTCCACAGGCAGGGTTGCCAGCTTGCTAGATCAGGTACTAAATCAGATTGCCCAGGCCCTATCCAGCCTGGTCTTAAACACCTCCAAAGAACGGAGCATCCACAACCTGTCTGGGCAGCCTGTTCCAGCATCTCACCACTCTCTCAGTAAAAAAAACTTGCCCCTATCATTCAGTCTAAACCTCTTCTCCTTTAGTTTAAAACCATTCCTCCTTGTTCTATCAGTATCTACCCACACAAAAAGTTGATTTCCCTTACGTTTGTAAACTCTCTTTAAATACTGGAAAGCTGTAATAAGGTCTTCCTCTTCAAATCCATCTCTCTCCAATTTAGAGATAAGGATGTGGTGGAGGACCATGTCAAAGGCCTTGCAAAAGTCCAGGTAGATGATATCAGTTGCCTTCCTTTTGTCCACTGATGCTGTCATTCCATCATAGAAAGCCACCAGATTGATCAGGCATGATCTGCTGTTGGTGAAACCATGCTGGCTGTCTTGGATCACATGTTTTTCCCTAATGTGCCTTAACATGTCTTCCAGGAAGATCTGTTCCATGATTATGAATCCACATAAAATAAAGTACAATGAATTTAAGAATGAATTAATCTGTTATAATCAAGTGCAGAAATACGTGCATGTGACACACAGATAAAATTTTGTTTTAAAGCTGTGTCATTGTAACTCATACAACACTGAAGATGATAGAGTCAATTTAGTTACTTTTCAATTACTTTATTCTTTCATGACAGTGTTTTTAAAATAGAAAAGTTACAGTGCAGTCCTTCTTGTAACATAACTACTTACGATTTATTTTTTTAAACATTTTTTCATTCTTATCCTAGGATAGCCTATAAAAGTACAAGTCTTGGAAGAAAATATTGTCATGAAACATTCACTGTAGGGCTTTTGCCTGTGTTTCCTCATTTTTCCTCATTGGAAACACCTTTAGTCTCTGTATTGGATTCTGTTTTCCTAGACCTGAATTGACAAAAGCAGGTGTAGATCCTTCTCCACTATTTTCTGAGAATAAGATTAGTATGACACAGAAATCTGTAGTAATTTTGTGCATACAGTTTTGAATATAGAACTAGGAGAAATCTTGGAATACTTGTGTACTACGCCAATTATTTTTTTCCTCATGGAAATTTGTATTCTTTATATACACGGACACTTCTGTATTAGAAGTTTGCTGTAGAAGATCACTTTTTTGTTCATTTTGTTAGTGAAGTACCTCTGAAGTTAATTCAAGCAATTACACTGTTGCCCTCTAATACAAATATAGCCAATAACTGTTAGTTAGAAATGAATACTTTCAAGAGCAACTAATTTTCAAACAGATGCAAATCTAATGAAGTGAAATTGATGTTGCTCTCACAGGAATGGTTGTAGATGGCTAGCTATATCTCGCTCACATTACTAGTTTTGTTATGTTAATGAAGCAAATCACAAAAGCGTGATTCTGAACATCAAAATATGCACCAATGTTTTTATATGTAATTTAAGAAGATCTCTCTAGTGGTCTATTTTACAAAGTAAAACTCCAAGGAGCTCTTGAATGCATATACTGCTTTAAGATTAGGTGGTGAATTTATTATATTAATAATAGTAAACAAGGGTTGCTCCAAAAGTAGAGCCTCCTATTTTATTATATTGATCCACTATGACAGAGGTGGATGTTGGTGTTACTGCAATATGGGCTGAACATTCCCACCAGTATTCCATTTCATTTTGTTGCCATGTTATAGATGGCGGCAGAGGGATGGTCTGGCAGAATGGCATCTTTATGGAAGTGTGAAGCAAAGATGTGGAATTGAAATTCTCCATGAAGACAAAAAATGACACCCACTGACATCCATCAATACTTGCTGAACATTTCTGGAGACCAAACAGTGGATGTGAAGACAGTGAATTGATGGGTGGTGTATTTCAACAGTGGTGACAGCAACAGTGGTTTACCTCCATTGGTGTAGATTTTTACAAGTGCCACATGCAGGCTTTTGTTCATCTCTGGTGAAAAAGCACAGCTAATGGGGGTGACATTGTTGAAAAGTAGTTTTTTTGAAAAGTAGTTTTGTTAAAAAGTAGAGTTTTTTGATTGAGATTTTGCTCTACCAAACAGTGTTATTGTTCCCTTTATATCTGTTGTAGTTTCCATAGAAACAAATGCGAGACATTACTTTCAGAACAACCTACATGTTATGATAAGGACTGCTATGGGATCACAAAATAAGCTGCCTGTTCTGGTAACAGCAGTTATTATTCACTGCCATCACACTACATCTACATTTCCACAAGTGTAGACCTCAACTTCAGTTTGTTTTAGTATTTGTCCGCTCTTTTTTTTATGTCCAGAATGTATTTCTTGTTTTTGTTTTTGAAATTAATTGTTTTAAATTTGTGCCCATTGCCTCTGATCTGATCAGTGGGAACTACTGGAAGAGTCTGACTGCATTTTCTTATTCACTCCTGTAAGGGGAAGGTAAGTTCCCCCAGGCATTTGCTTCTCCAGATTGAACAGTCCCAGCTCGTAGCCTCTTTGCATATGGCAGATGCTCCAGTCATTTAATCATATTCATGGCCCCTTCTTTTCTGCTTATGCTTTCTAAGCCCAAAATGACTCCTGCCAATTGTCATTCACAAAGATCCTTCCTTAAATCCCACTGCCTTCTGTTGTTTTATTAATATTGAGTCTTGCTACAGTGAATGTAACACATAGAATTACTCTTCCTGTTCTATCCATGCCAGTCTGTGAGCTCCTTAGTACAGACGCTATTTACTTCTCAAGTACTTGGAAGTGCTGAGCACATAACAAGTGCTTCCCCATAAAAACAGTGAGTTAAACACTGGTGAGAATAACATGTAATGACAAAGTGTTCTACATTTATTCTTGTTTAGTGAATAATGCATTTTATTCCAAAGATGAGCCAGGATGTCTTGGAAAGGCATATGGATATATATGTATGTGTGTGTGTGTATATACATTTTACAGTTCCTTACACAAATTTTTGTTTTTTTAAGCAACTGAAAGTCAAAAGACCAGCAGGCACAATTTAGAACTGCATGTGCAGTGGCATTTGCAAGGACTGAAGATAAATGGAGATCATCGTAATGCACTGTGAATTGCAGTAGAACTTTCTTGTTCCCAGCAGCCAAGGCACCGGTCCCTGATTGATTGATTCTTCAGGAAGGCTGAAAGGCTATTTTGAGTTTTCAGGGCTGAGATGAAAATGTGAAAATAAAGATTAATAAGTTTACAAATACTGCATCCAAATTTAACATACTCATTCAAAAAAACAGCCTTGATTTCATTTTAGAATAAGACACACTGCTGAATTCAGTCTATGAGTAATTCTTCCAAGTTTCCAGCCGAGCTCTTTTCAAAGATAATGCAGGTGGAAAGATGAGTTAATGGTTTAAACAATTAGAGATTTGATGCACTCTTCCATCTGTCAAAGCCCACTGAAATGAAGGCTCACAGTTTTAATTTGTGCCTCCAGCATCAAACTCAGTCTGAAATGGTGTCAGTGATTTGCCCTGCCCACAGTACTGTCATTCTTATGGTAAGCGTTCTGTGCACACATGCTGAGAGACTTTTATCAAACATATTAGTGTGCATTTGA